AGTCGACATTATATTTCTAAATGTCTAAAACTGGTTTGTAATATGAATTATTACCCATGCAAAAGAATATAAAGTATCTATCATCAAGTACAAGCCATAGCGGTGACTTGAATAATAATAGTAAATGAAGAAAGACAGCATAATGCAAATGGAATCACTTACAATATAATGAATGGACTGACTCATGAATAACCACCTTTAATAATTTTTATGTAATGTCACCAAACATTAAAATCTTCTTGTAGAAATACCGCAATGTTATACCGAGGTAGCCGAGGTAGCCAACCTCTGTTTATGGTCGTTAAGGGAGTCATAATGGGCTAGTCCGGTAATAGTAGTTTACGTTATGAGCCCGTTAGCTAGATCTTTACATACGAGCACGGACATGCGAGCATGTAAAGATCAGATAACGGGTGTGTATGATATACTGCAATTTACTACGTTTTACAACCTAGGTTATGACTAAATTGTCGGTTTTAACTGAACCGTCATTATTTTAAGACACATTCGGAAACTTGTAATGATGGTATCAGATGATAGAATTTTATTTGATTTTAGGTTGTAAAACATAGTAAATTGCAGTATACCATAAAACGTTGTACAATACACGCCCGTTACCTGATCTCTACGTTGTCACACGTTCATATAACGTACTCGCTAGGTAACGGGCTTATAACGTAAACTACTATTATGACAAAGGTTAAACAAGTTTCTTAATAAAAATAATAACATTTTTTTAATGTTTATTTTTGAAAATATATTTTGAAAACGTATTTTTTTATCGATTGTCTAATTCTTTTCATACTGTTAATTTTTGGAAATTCAGGGATAAATACCCAAATTCCCGCTTCGAAATTATTGAATATTTTTTTTACCCACTCTGAACACCGAAAATAAAACTAAAAAATATGCAAATTCATACAACAAACAAAATATAAAAATAAAAGAGCCACGTGTGCACGCCTTGACGTGTTAGCTGCCAGGTTAATCAACATCAACGTCGCATGCGCACGAGCACACGCTCTTTTAATAATGTTTTCGATATACCTATCGAAAAGATTAAATCGATATATCGTTAGTAAAATATCGATTAAAATATATCGATATATTTGTGAAATACATCGATATATCGTTGCCATCCCTACGTCTTACACATAAAGTAATGCATTCTGTTGATACGACATTTTGTTTTAACGCATAAAATAAAATTCGAGGCGGCTGTGGCTGGCGATTATTTGCCAGAATGTGCAGGTTTACCCAATGCTTCAATTGGGGCTAAAATTAAATTATTCAATAATGTAGAATGATATAGATTCGTCTGGCCTATCGACAGCTCAAAAGTGGCAGTACATATTCAATAAATGTGAAAATTCTCAAAATATATACAAACTCATTTAATACTATACTTTGTGTGGGCCTGCCACTTGAGCGTTCACTAAGAATGAATGAAAAGTGAGGAAACGAAAAGAACAAAGCTACTCTAAACATGATCAAACCTGAGCTGGTCATGTATTTTTTAAGACAGACCAGAAAGAAACTTTCTGAACAATTTTCTGTCCAAAAAATAACGTTTTGCCGATCAAGACCAGAAAGTAGACGTTAGGAACCGGTAAAAGCCTTTACCGGTCTCTGTTTTCATTTTTCCAATCGCTGTTTGATAATACAGTCTGGCTTAATTTCGTTACTATGGTAACAACGTTCCGATTTATTGCCAAGTGACAGTTCGTTGATTTTTATTTTGTTGTTTATGTCAAACTTGTGTTCGCAAATTTAAAAATATGGATTCAAATTTTGAATTATCTGACATAGAAAATGAAGTTTCAGAAGAAATTTTGGAAGCAGCAAAAATGTACATTTAACATAAATATTCAAAAATCATCTATTTGGTTAGTTTATACAGTTGTATCCATTATCTAGTTGTAGTATTTTTTAATTACTTTATTAAATAAAATAAATAATTGAGTTTAAATCGTAGTGGTCTTTAAAAACAGTAATTTACGTTACAAGACCGGAAAGTAGTTTTTTGCAGGTCGAGACAAGCAGGGCGAGCCGTAGGCGAGACCTGGAAGCACTAATTTTCGGTCGCGTGACGTACAATATTTCACGAATAAATCACACTACATGTTTGCAACTTTATTGTCCCGTGTATAAAAAATATCGGCAAATGATGTATATACTGATATATTTTATAGGTAATTATAAAACGGTTAGATTAACCTGTATATTTTAAAATCTAATGTAACGTTATTAATAGTAGGTAAGCCACTTCAGCACAAATTTTCGATTTTTCCCCAGATCTAGGGAAATGTGTAGATATGGCAACGTCGCAATACATGGACATACCGCTTATGTCTGTCTATCTCTTAGTTCTAGCCCAGTATAATTAATAATACAGTAGCGACAGCTTGAGTCGGCTCCTTTGATGTCGGGGTGGTTAGATTTTTATTGACACTTGACGGTTTTGCCGCTTATTTCTACGCTGAAATAAGTAACTTTAAAATATCTTGACCCTTTGTCTGTTTGAATGAAATATCCTACAATAAATGAAATATGAAAACAGTCTAACAGCCGTATGCATAGTCGATCGCCAGCGACTCGCCAGCGACTCGCCAGCGATTCGCTGGCGATCCGCCGGCGAAAGCCCAAAAAGCTGGCGGCTCGCCGGAGATTGTCACCGGAATGTCATTTCACGAAAGTTTTCATGTTCTTTTATAGGGAAAAATTTGATATTCGTTCATTATTTTTTGAGTTTTAAGAAATGAATCATGAATAAAATGCGAGAGATACCGGTGATATTCCCTATAAAAGAACATGAAAACTTTCGTGAAATGACATTCCGGTGACAATCTCCGGCGAGCCGCCAGCTTTTTGGGCTTTCGCCGGCGGATCGCCAGCGAATCGCTGGCGAGTCGCTGGCGAGTCGCTGGCGATCGACTATGCATACGGCTGTAAATATAATAAAAATGTAAAAAAATGTGCATTACAACCAATCAGATAATCAAAACAATCAACTACCATTAATCCATTGACAATTCACATATGCCAGTTTGACGTATTTGCCGCTTATTTACGGACATGCGCAGAAAAATATAGAACCCTCATAAACAATGAACTGTCGCTACTCTATTATTACTTATACTGGGGTTCTAGTATCATTTTGATGATGACAAGCTATACATTGTTGACAACGCCCTCCTCGATGCCCATTTCTATGAAATTATCCGTCCTTAGGAAAATGCTTGACGAAATATTTGCTGTGACAGGTGGTGTTAATCAGCTTAGGTCCTTATGCTCTATTCCACCCCCTCCCTGCCCGTTGACATATGTCCAACTGCCGTCTTCATGTTGCTTTTATCTGTCTAAGTGATCCCTCGATCGAAGCGTCGTACCAAAATGCGACGTTGCCTTCTTCTTTGGCTTTTCTTACTACAAAATCGCTTGATGTCTCGGAAAATTTAAAAATACCTATCATCTACCCATCTATTTCATGTATTGCGACGTTGCCATTTCTACAAATTTCCCTAGATCTTGGGAAAATCGAAAATACTGTTATTGACTTACTCAAAAGTCACTGAAGAAATGTAAGGTATCTTTTTAATAATTTCAAAACAATTTGTAAACGGGTAGATATTAACGCAATGACATGATTTCTCTGTAGCGCAACTGTAGAGCTGTTTGCAAAAATATATTGTGATTTATTCGTGAATCACCCTATAACAAATTTTTTAACGGAATGGCCATATCACCAAAACTTATATATTCTAAATAAAGACAATCTAGCTTTTCAGTTGGAAGAAAAACTTACTAAAATCAGCAATTATCTACTGTAATGCTCTATATCTCGAAAACTGGTCATAATATCAGATCTAAAATTATATCTCTTAAATATTGAGAAAATAGTTATATTTGACTTGGGAAATTTTAGAATACAAGGTGTTTGTGGTGTTTTTGTAAGTTTAATAAAATAAAATATCTTCCAACAAATAAGCCGCCTTGTATATTTTGAAGCTTAGAGTTACACATATTTTAGTGGTATTACCTTTTCCAAAAATCAATTAATAAGTACAGGGTTTTCAATTAGTCCTTTAACAAATACAAAATACCCTGTATAAGAAATGTGTACTGTGAAATATACCAAAATACCATACCTAGTACTTTTTAAAAATATGCTTCCCTGACTTCACAGTAGAGTTAGTGAGATTTTTTCAACAAACTACCGACACACTTTTGTGAAAAAATATTTTTAATTATACGTATGTAATAATATATTACTAAAATATTTATTAAAGGTGCGTATGCAATATAAATTCAGTCTAGCTCGTAAGTTGAAAAATAAAAATTTCGAAAAAATGGGAAATTTTTAATTTTAACGTATTTCGTACAAATACGATAATTTTCGTATGTCTGACAACGGTGCTCTCATCATTTATATGATTCCGGCCAAACAGTAAGAAACTACTCGCCTACTCTCCTACTCGCATATTTACAAGAATACGGTCCCAGGCTCGCCTACGGCTCGCTCTAGAATCTGCTTTTCTCGACCTGCAAAACACTATTTTCCGGTCTTGTAACGTAAATTAATATTTCCTTTAATCACTGTCTTTATCAGTCCCTCTTTCATTTCATCCCCGTCTTTCTGCATTTTAGAACAGTAACCCTCTTCCCAATGGCCACACTTTCTTAAATTAACGCCTTTGACTAAATTATTATTCTTCAAATTTTAATTAATTATTTTTCTTAACAGTATGTGTATTTATAACCTTTTTTCAGTTTCCCTATTCGTTAGTTTCATATCTTTCTTTCTAGGCCTGATGATAACTCTTCGAGTTTGAAACTAGCAGCTAAAAACATATCAATAAATTTATTGTGATCAAAACTATTTTTTGTTTGTATCTAATACATCTTGACACATTTAAGAATAGACGATCTTCTTCACATAAAATTTAATCAACAACAGTACAGTAATAAGTAGTTTATTCATTCAAATGTATTTTTTACAGACCCATTCTGGTTTAATTCAAACCATCCAACAGACCGCCGATGTCAACGGTTCTCCTTTTCGCTCCAACTACCACCCAGTACAGGACTACTACAATGGCCAAAACATCAACTCTACCGGAGCAGTTCCAAGGACAGCGTGGATGTCTCCAGTTGATTCAAATAAACCTCCGCCAAGACCTTTACCGCACAATGACGAATTTCCTCACAATTCGCATTTAGCTCAAAGTGTCGCCGTACAAATAGAAAGCAAAGATGTATCTCAAAAAGATCAGAAAAATAAAACAATGGCTAAAACGTATAACACTATTAAAGATATGATATCGAGTAGGTTCAAGAACAATAAAGATAGCGAAGATAAGGTGGAAGAAACAGGTCTAAACAATGTAGCTGAAGAATTAAGGAAATCTCAGGCAAATATAGCTGATGATTTGGGTAATAAGAAATCTTCGGATCAAGGTAAAATAACAAACTCAACTTTTTATATTCTTTCCATTTATCATTTCTCATTTTATTTAGGTTATACGAAACAACCAGCCATTCCTCCTCAATATGCCCAAAGTTTCATGCAGCAGCAGATGCTAGCTCAACACGCTCAACAACAGTACCAACAACAATTGAAGAACCAACAGTACTCTCAACAAATCGCTCAAGCTAGGTCACAAGAAATGCTCAATCAACACCCCGAAGAACAGTTATATTACCAAAGTTACGCAGCCTCTCCGCAGAGGAGGCACCCACAAGGTTCCAACCGAGAAGGAAACTATGTTCAGATGCACCAAAACCTACAGGTTATTTTTTTAATAATGAACATTATATTGAACCTTATCTAAACTGACCTATCAATAAATTTATTAACCTAAGGGCCAGTCTTTTCAACTCTGAGTTAAAGTTGAAAGTAACTACTTGCTGATTAAACTATAGGGAGGGCTATTGTTCGTCGATATAAAACAACATTGTCTTCATCAAGTATTGTTCTGGTTTCGTATTCTTTATCTTTATCGAAACTAGGTAGTTTTCTGATTATTTTCACGTCACATCTTGATCTTACGTTTCCCATTTGTTTTCCATACACTGCATTATTCATTAGTTTGTAAAAATCTTTTTTAAAATCATTTTGAGCTTCTTTTCTTAATTCTGTATTTTTATCTATGTAGGGTTTAAGCCACGCCTTCTGTTCAAATTTAATGTAATTTTTAACTTCTTTTAAAATAACTCCTTGTCTTAAACATTCTTTTAACATTTTGAAATCGATAACATAACCTTTCTTTAATTTTAGGGTATTTATTAATTTTGTATTTTTAGATTTCGTTTCAATATTATTATCAATCATTTCTTTTTGATATGTTGATAACTCATCATAATCAGGTACGTAATGTTCTGGAAGTAATGGATAGTTTTTAAATTTATCACGTAGTATCATTATCCTTTAACTTTAAAATCTTTTCTGAAGTATAGTCGCTATATAGGTTTCATTTTTAAACTTTTGAGTTCTGGATCTGTTTTTATTTCATCTTTTTTCTCATTATATCCAACAAATTTTCCGATTATCAATGGTTGTGATAACGCATTTCCATATAAATTATTTGCGTCTAAATACTAATATGTTTTTTACTATTATATATTCCTTTTTCCTCAGCTTTTTCTTTACTTAGTTTGATTGTCTTATCTTGTTTCTCGTCATAGAAATAGCAATTATTTGCTATAGCATGTCTATTTGGAATCATTGATATTCCACCTCTGATTCCACGTTCATATGTTTCGTATAATTTTTGATCTGTTAATAATTCTAATGTTTGACCTGTTTCTTTTAATGATGCTGCATCTGCTAAATTGGGAGCTGAAATATAGTAAACAGGATCTAATTTATAATTCTTATAACATGTTTCTCTAAAGTTGTCAAACACATCTTTTAATAAAACCGTATCTAACTTTAAATATAGATTATGATAATAACCAAAGTTTTTATATTGAAAATGATTATAAACTTCTTTAGCAAAGTTAAGGTCTGCATCCTTTATATGTTTATCATTTAAAGTTGAATACCAGTTTATAGAATTTTTGATAATCATCAACCCACTCGTATGGATAAACACCTTTTCTTAAAACCATATGGAGGTCCTCCTTATTAAATTCTTTCATAATATTTTTGAATTTAGTGTATTTAACTGGTTTGCTTACTAAATTATCATATTTTTTACAGTTGGCTATTAATTTTAAAATATTATTTTCATTAATGGGTAGAAATTTAACATTTATTATTTCTTGTTTAAAATTACATTTAGCACAATAACAATTATTAACATCAGCTAAATTGTTCACTGCTTGTATTTATAAATCTAAAGATGTCTATAAATTTGAATTCCATTTTTACATTTTAAATTTCCCCTTTCCGTTTGATAACTTATTTTATTTCCACATGTATCACGTTTTTCGATAATTTTGTTATATATTGGTTTTTTTATTGCATTTATTACATCGAGAATAATCAAAGGGTTGTTCATATTTATCAACAATTATTTTCTTTGAGAACGTGATGTAATTTTCTTTGGAGTTTGGAATTATATTAATGTCTGAATAGTTTTCACTCAATTCAAGAATCCTGATTTAGTCTCCTCTTATTTAGACACGCTAGGATAAATTAATTTTGTATCTCTGATAAATAAATATACACGAGAAAAGGGATCCTCAAAAAGTTGTTTAGATCACATTTTTTACAGTTACAATGCACCTACCTTAGACAATTATACGGCGGCAATTTTTGATACACAAATAACAGACCATAAAGCTACTATTGCTTATTTTCCTCTAAAAGTTGATGTTTGTCCAAAAACGTCATTTGTTAAAAAAATTAATTACGATAAACTAAAACTAGAATTAGCTAATCAAAATTGGGAAACTTATTACTCTATAGAAAATGTAAATGAAAAAGTTAAGTACTTAACAGAAACTCTAAATTTACTTTTAGAAAACAATACAAAATTAATAAAACAAAAAGACCACCATAAAAAAAGTAAACAATGGATAACAGAAGGAATTATAAAGTCAATAAAAGAGAGAAACCGTTTATACAGTATTCACAAAAAGAATTTTGATGATATTGAAAAAAAACTTACAGATAAATTAATTAAACAAGTTAAAAAAGATTTTTACACCAAACAAATAAATGAAAATAAAAATAGTTCAAAACGGTTATGGGATACTTTAAAACAAATACAAGGAGATAGTAGAAGCAATAGAGAAATACGTGAAATAACTACAGATGAAGGGAAACATATTACAGACGCAAAAGATATAGCAGAAAGATTTAATCAATTTTTTTCAGAAATAGGCACATCACTTGCAAATAAAATAGATGACCCAAACTCACCACCTCCGGTCATAAATATTCACAAAAACTCTTTTGTGCTACTACCAGTAACTGAAAAAGAAATAAATAATATCATTAATTCACTTTTGAACAAAAAATCGCCTGGAATAGATAATATTTCCTCAGAATTAGTAAAAGAAAATTCTGATGCATTAGCACCACTTTTGATAGATCTAATTAATAAAATGTTTGATAAAGGTGAGTTCCCAGCCGAATTAAAAAAATCTTTAGTAGTACCAGTCTTTAAAAAAGGAAAAAAGAGTATGTTTACAAACTACAGACCTATTAGCTTAATAACAACTTTTACAAAAATAGCAGAAAAAGCCTTAAATTTACGTTTAAAAGATTTCCTCAATAAATATAAAATCATCTCAAACAAACAATTCGGGTTTCGAGACGGGCTCTCAACAACAGATGCGATCTGTGAGTTGTTAAAAAAAATTTATAGTTCTGTTGACTGCAAAAAACCATGTCTAGCAGTTTTCCTGGATTTTGCCAAGGCCTTCGACACTGTAGATCATAGACAGTTGTTAGAGACATTGGAAGATATAGAGATACGTGTGAAAACTTTTGACCTTTTTAATAGTTATCTGAACAATAGATTTCAAAGAGTTAAAATCAATAATGAAATCAGTGACGAGAGGCCAATAAAAAGCGGTGTTCCTCAAGGTCCCACTTTATTTACATTATATGTAAACAATTTATATAATTTACAGACCACAGGAGAAATAGTAAGTTTTGCAGACGACACTGCGATTTTTTATGAAGCAGAAACTTGGAACGATCTAAAATGGAAAACTGAAAGAGATTTAAAAATAATAATAGACTGGTGTTCCCATAAAAAATTAACCATAAACTACAACAAATCTTTCGTTTTACCATTTGTCAGCTACTCTAATAATCTACCTCAATTTAGTAACATTAGCTTAACTTATAATAAAAAGAAAATAACATTGGAAAAAAAAAATGAAATAAAGTATTTAGCAGTTACCCTAGATTGTCATTTACGTTGGGACGCACATGTAAATAACTTAACAAATACCTTAAGACTTCTTTTATTTAAATTTAAATACCTCAAAAATATTTTACAAGTTACTCACCTAAGAACTATTTATTATGCTTTAGTCCAAAGTCGTGTACAATACGCAATCGTCTGTTGGGGTGCTACAACCAAAAATCACATATCCAAACTTGAAATATTACAAAAGAGAATTCTAAAAATAATACACAACAAAAAAGTTAGATACTCAACAGATGCATTGTTCGAGGAAGTAAAAATAATGGATATACGACAATTATACATATACTCAGTTATAATTCTAATCTACAAAAATAAACAATTATTAAACAAAATTACCCATAACTATGATACAAGAAGCAAGGATAAAGGAAAAGTTGGTACCCATCTTGTAAATAAAACAATAGCACAACGTTTTAATATTTATTTAAGTGCAAAAATCTTTAATTATCTTCCGGATATGCACAAGGCATATTTACAAATCATAAATTCCGTTGAACTCTTTAAATCTATCATCAAAAAATTTCTTATTAATTCGGATAGAACAACCCAAAGAGAAATAATTGATTAAATATACAAGTATTCGAACTTATATTTTATAATTTAGTTGTAATTGTATACTTTTTACGTGATATTGTTATTTTGTATATCTTTATTATTTATATTTCATATGTATTTTAAATGATGTGTTTTTTAGCTAATTTTATATTGTTATTATTCAGTAATTATAATTTAATATGTATTATTTAATTAATGTACTTAGATTTTATGAACTTATACAAGTTAAGCTTTAATAATGTATTTAAAAAAAAAGTAAGTAATTCGGCAGCCCATGAGCAACCACATGGTCATAAATGGGCAGCAAATACTTTTAATGTATAAGGTACCTGTCAATTACTCTATTAATTTAAAATTATTTAAATGTACCTACAACTATGATGTAACCAAAAAACAAAAATGCTGAATAAAGATTATTATTATATTATTATTATTATCTTAGAAATATCATTGAATCATATCTAAGGTTGTGAATTTCAATTGGTATAAATTTTGGTAATGGTAAATTTAAATTACAACTGTTACAAGCTGCTCCTCTAAATATTTCTGTAACATGGTTATGATCCCTGACTTTTTGACTCTCATTCTCGAAAACTTTATTACGAATATGACACTTTTTTGCGTTCTGATAATCTATGAATGCATCATCGTCCCAAATCCGTCTTATTTTGTTTTCTAATTTGATTATATCGTTTTCCATAATAAATAAGTTGCTTATTAAATTCTTTCATTAGTGTTCTAGCTTCGCTCAATATTGACTTTGTTTATTAAATTTTCAGAACAGTCCAGAGAAACGAAGCGCTCAACAAATCGAAAGGGACAGTCTACGCCAAAGAAGTTTCGAAGCAAGACGAGCAGCATCGCAACCTCAACTAGCATACGATGACGAAATTCACGAAGAGCTCCCAAATAGAAAACCTCAACCTCAAATTCCGACTCCTACGCGAAGAGGTTCGCACGGAAATCTCGTAGATCAAATTAAACACGATGCAGAGAAGGATAGCGACGACGGAGGATTTTTGCACCGGAAAGGATCGCAAGAAAGAAGGTTGGATAATTTTGATAAAAACGTGAAAAACGAAGGCATTAATCACGATAGTAAAAAGGACGATAGTCCGAATATAATCGATGGTCTTCAAGGTAGTCCAAGGAAGAGATTGGAAGGTGAAATAGGTAATACAAAATGTTAATTTTATTAGAGAATTTTCATAAATTAATATTGTTTTGCTAGGTAAAATCGAAGGTGTTTACAATGTGGGACAGAGATCGGCGAAAATCGAAGAAGAACCTAAAATAAAAAAGACTAATCCCAGTTCAGCCAACAGTTCTGATTACGACAAAACTGGTGGACAGTCTTCGTCAAATATTGATTCTGGAAGAGGTAGTGCAGCATATAGCAGTGGAAGAAGACCTGCGGATTTAAATAGTGACCAATTTGATTCTGTTCCTTCGATTCCTAGAGGAAAGTACAGGGAAAGTCATGATACCGGTAAGTTTTTTCTTATTTATAAATAAACTTTATAAAATGGTGTATATACGTTTAGGTCATGAATCAGAATGGGTAGACATAGTAGAACACGAACTTAGGAATATATTGGAACCAAAACTGCACGAATTGGCCATACATGGAAACAACGTTGGAAAAACGCATTCCACTATCAGCGAAAGTATTTCATCGATGACCCCTCCTTTACCACCTCTGTCTCCTGGTGATCAGTCTTCAAACAATACAACACCAAGAAATTCAGCAAGATATAAACATAGCAGGTATGGTTATTTCAGTTATAAGTAAGTTATATTAGGAGTAATACTTTTGAGAACTCTCAGAAGTTGGAAGTATGTCAATAATGTATACGTTTACTAACTTTTTGTATATATCTTAGTTTACCGTGTGGTACCAGACCTGAATATGAAGGGTACAAGAATAAAAGTCATACACGAAATATAATCAACGATTCAAGATGGAGCAGTTCACCACAGAAGCATAGAACACAGAAGAAAGTCGACAACAGTGCAATACTGAGGGGAAAGCAAAGTAAGTAGAATAAATTAGATTTGGTATGGAGTATCGGCCATTTTTTTTTCCTGGGCTCCTCTGACTATGTGTCTCCTAATAACACTGAAGCCTATTGGCTTATTGTGTTTTACCCCATGTTAGTTCATAGCACCCACTATATCACCTTTGTACCTTGTACAAGTTTGTACAGATCCTTGGTTGAGTGGGTTCTATACGTTGTTGGATCAACCTGGGGTTGTCCAAAACGAGCCTGTCTTTTGCGATCTAGAGCTTCGCATTCGCACAGTATGTGTTTGGCCGTTTCTGGTTTCTTGTGACATAGTCGGCACATGAGTTCCCCATTGTACATGCAAATTTTGTTCAAGTGTCCCTTTACTGGGGCGTGCCCAGTCATGAACCCTGTTATCACTTTCAACTGGTTCCTATTCATTAAGAGTAGTTCTCCAGTTCTTTTGGGACATGGTCTGCCTATGAAGGCTTTTCAATGTGCCTGTTTTGGGGTGCTTCCCCAATAGTTGATATGTTGTTCCCGAATCCAGTCATTTATAAAACCCCGGACTGTACTTTTTGGTACTCCTGGGTTTGTGTCTGGTTCCGGTGTTTCTTCTGACCCTCTTTTTGCAAGTTCGTCAGCCTTTGCGTTGCCTTCGATCCCTTTGTGACCTGGCACCCAAAAAGATGGGTGCCATGGGCCATATGGTCTCTCCTCTACTTCAGTCTTTAAATCTGTTGTGGATACCCTTGATAAGAGTACTCTGTCCAGTGTGGTCATTTCTAGTAGACTTCATAGACTAGTAAGTAGTTTTCTAGTGTAGCTAATTGGCATCATCTTAGGCTTGATTTTCTTCGCAGTAGCCCAATACGTGAACTGCAGTTTCCTTCTCTTCCTGATGGAATCTGTACATATTTATTCTACCAGGCCCTTGTTATGCATATGCTGGTTAGTGCTTTGTTAATATGCCTACTAGTACTTTAATAGCATTTCTATTTTGGCTTAGTATATGTTCGGTGAGTTTTGGAGATGGTCCTTTTAAGAACTCTATGTCCTGTCTATATCTCTGTTAATTTTACCACTATTTCTGAGATTTATTTAACATCTACCGCTTTGTGCTTGTCTTTTTGGTACTACAAAAGCGTTCTGGTCCAAATGAAGACTATAAGGCTCCTCTTTGGAGCGAAGCATCTAACTTTACTATGGTTTTGTTGTTCACTATCCCGTATATTATCTTGTTTTTAACATGGTTTTTAAAAGATTAATGTTTTGTAGCTTCGCTTCTTTTAGAAATAAAAGGCTTTTTATGAGTTCCGACTTTTAACTTTTTTTTTTAACAAGTATCAGGTAGTTTTAAAGTATAAACTAATAACATAACTAATAAATAAATAACTATCGAGTGTAGACGACACGACATTCTCCCCCGCGGTTGAACTGCTAATCTAGTTCAAGCTCCAACTTGCAAAGTGTGCTTGCAGGTCTCCTTAGAAAACCGGTTGATGTTCTCATGTCAACCACTCTGATCCATCCGTCTGAACCGGGGTAAAGATTTTGAATTAGGTTGAGTTTCCAATTGTATCGAGGTCACATACTTTGATTTTCTCTTATGTGATCGAGGTGCATTGTCATCTACAATTGTCACAACGTCATTCACCTTGACAGATGCATTGTCGTCTCTCAATTTACTTCTTTTGGTTAGAGTCGGTAGATATTATTTTATTCAACGACATCAGAAAATATCAGCCAACATTTGAGAGTTCTTCCAGTAGCTTCGTAAACAGTTAGCATTCGGCCTGGAAGTAGAAGATTCGCATTGGCGGTCGTTCGCGAATAGGAAATGTTGAGCTCTTTGTTATTGGTCTGGAGTTTAAAATATTTTCAGCTTCAACGAAAAAGGTTAAAAGGACCTCATCCTTGATGGACTGTTCATGTAAAATTTTAGCAATCACCCTTTCCACGCTCCCTATCATTCTCTCCCATGCTCCGCCCATGAAAGGTGCTGCTGGGGCATTAAATATGAAATTTTTTCTTTTTGCTCTCATGAAATCTGTCAGCTGTTCGTCCTTTATGTCAGTTCCCAGCTGTTTGGCTGCTGCTTTCAAGTTGGTACCATTATCACATGTTATTGTGGCTGGCTTATCTCTTCTGGCAATAAACCGTCTTATCGCCATCAGTGTGGAGTCTGTGTTTAGTGTGTGAGCTCCCTCTAGATGTACTACTCGAACTGCCATGCACGTAAAAATAACTCCCCACCTCTTGTCGTTTCTTCTGCCTACTGCAACATGGATAGGTCCGAAATAATCCATGTCTGTGTTTACGAAGGCCCGAACTTCATCACACAATCTTGTAACAGGTATTTGTTCCATAAGAGGTATCTTGGGTTGTGATTTCTGATGTCTGCATACTAAATATTTTGAAAAAGCTGTTTTAACGGCTGTCCTTCCATTTACAATCCAATATTTTTGTCCTAATTGGTTTAATACTAGTTTCATCCCAAAGTGACGACATTCTTCATGGTAATGTTTCACAAGAAGTCTTGTATAATGGTGTTTGGGGCTCAGAATAATAGGTTTTTTGGTTTGACGATCCATTCAAACAAGTATTCTATCTTCTAAACTAGGGTTTAGTGAATAAATTGTACTTTTCTTTGGAATTTCGTTACCATTGTTTAGACATGTAATTTCCTGGGGGTAGCATTCTTCTTGGGAAATTCTAATCCATCTTTTTTCAGCGTCGGTTAGTTCTTCTAGCGTTAGTTCTACAGGAAAACGTTTTTTCTTTAGTTTTTTGATAAATCTTTTACTCCACGCTGTACTTCTAATCAGACGCAACCATTTTGAAAATCTTTTTATATCGGGTAAAAGTAGTTTACTATGTTTTTCCACTGCAGTCGCAAGAATAGTGTATTCTTTCCTAATTTCTTCTGTATCTAAGAAATTCTTGTCCTTTGCCGTTTCTTTAGGCTATTTTCCCTCTCTTTCCTGTAGAAATGACGGCCCACAGAACCAAGTATTCAAGTTCTGTGATTCTGAGTATCTTGTTGCTAAGTCGGCAGCATTACAATCAGTGGGTACCCAGTTCCAATCCTCTGGCCTGCTCAATTCTTGAATGTCTCCTATTCTACATGCTACAAACTGGTTGAATTTCCTACCGTTGTTGCGTATCCAATTAAGTACACACTTACCATAACCGCGGCTTGTAACTCTAGCCTAGGTATTGAGAGTGGTTTTAGTGAAGATACTTTTGCCTTCGCTGCTAGTATAGAAATGTATATGTTCTGTTCGGAAACTACTCTTAAATAGCAAACAGCAGCGTATGCTTTCTCGCTGCTATCACAAAAAACATGCACTTTAATTTTCTTTGTTGCGGTAAATTTCTTGAGTAACACCTAGGGACTGCAAGTCACAACCTGAACGCCAGATGTCTTGCATTATTATCTTAGCTCTTATGGTAAAAAAGGTGATAAAGCCGAGTGGGTCAAACAGAGCCGTTGCTAAACTTAAGACATGTCTTTTATTCAGTTTTAATTTAAGTTACTTTTCGTAATTATTTAGCTTGAACATAAAGGTATTGTTCTTTGAGTTTTACCACATTCCCAGAATGTCTATTGCCCAAGCTTTTAGTAGTCGCTAACAGATCTGCTGACAAATGTTCTTGAATCTCTCGAGAATTGCTCATCCAGTTCACCAAGTCAAAGCCTCCTAGCAGTAGGATTCGTCTTACTTCTGATATGGTGTAGATAGCTTCTTCGAGAGAATTTAGCGACTCCAGATAATCGTCTACGTAAAATTCTTGCGTTATGGATTTAAGAATTTTGGGGTCACCAGCAAGTTCTTCAGCATTCAGGTTTTTAATAAACTGTACACATGCTGGCGAACACGTAGCTCCAAAAGTCATTACTCTTATCGGGCTCTCTTTGGAGCTGCAGATCCCGCCAAAAAAATCTTTGAGCACATCTGTTTTTTCTCTGATTTCTAATTGGTGGAACATTTCTCGAACATCGCCACAGAAAGTTATTTTCCCTTGACGGAATTTCCATAAAATTGCTACTAAGGATTTTTACCAAAAGATTTTAACGCTGCATCAAAAACCAGGCTTAGTTTTTTCTTGTTAACATTGATTACAGGAAAATGAGGCAAATACCAAGTGGTTGGACCTTCAGTAGCAGCCTCCTCAGATGTCAGTTTCTCTGCATATTCTTTTTCTACATAGCCCCTAATTTTCTTAGAATATTCCTCTGCTAACTTCTTATCTCTTATACATTTTTTTTCTACGTAGCGCAGTCTTTGAATAGCTACGCTCTTGCTTTGTGGGAGTCTCGGCTTATCTTCCTTCCACAGAAGTCCAATCTCAAATCTTCTTCCTGTTCTTTTTGCTGTTGTTTTCATTATGCTCACTGCTCTTTCTTCATCGGGTGACATCTGTTGCTTATGGGTATCGATTCCGAAGGAATCTAGTGAAAAGCTTTGTTTTACTAATTCATCTAGTTGATGAACTTATAACTAATAACATAACTAATAAATAAATAACTATCCAGTTTAGACGATACGACAATTAAGTTACATGTATTATTTCCCCCATTTCCTTTATACTTGTTATTCCGCCCTACCTTGCTATTTTTTATAATAACTAAGACATTAGGGTAAAATAATGAGGTATACAATTGATACCAAACCAGTTTTCGTCTTCTTTATAGAACTAATGATGATCCAACTACTAGTTTTCATGACATGTTTTAGGTGTGGTCCACAAGTTAATTTTTAATTATAAAATCAGTTTCCAAAGAACGTACAGCATCATAAAGATATATTACCATGCCTCTTGATTATTAATGATTCATTTTTACAGTGTTTGGACTTGATACAACTGATCTTACATCCACAACAACCAGATCCATGGACTTGGAATCAATCCTAGATGGCCAAAGCGACTCCGACGAGGACCTGAGTACAACCGACGCCAGAGCAATAAGAAAACAACTAGAAGGCTTAGAAACAATGTACTCCGAAGTACTGAAGCTCCTAGGAGTCAAGAAACATCCAGCGCGCTACCAACCTAACGATCCGAGATTCACCAAACGAAGATACGGAAGCATGTCTTCGTTACCTTCGAGCTCCGTCAGCAGCCGACCAATCAGAGATAAAAGAAGAGCTAATGAAGATAGAAAGAAAGTGCGAGACATCCGAGGCATTAACAAGAGATTCCAAAGGTTGGAATCACATGTGGTTACGTTGGCAAGATCGGTGGCTCATCTTTCGTCTGAGATGAGAACGCAGCATTTGATGATCCAAGAGATGGAGAATATTCGTAGTGAGATTGCGGCTTTAAGGACGCAAACTAATATGCTGAATGTGAGGTCGCAGAACGCCGCTAGAGCTGTCAGTTCCAGGGAGTTGCCGGTTTTGGCTAATCCGGCCAGAGTTAGAAAGTTGACTAAGTTTTTTGGAGATGAGCCGCCATTGTTAAGACTATTTTTGAGGAAATTAGGATACGAGGTACATACATGATCAACTATTTTGAGTTTTTACATAAAACTAACGTTTTTATCAAAGCTATTCTTAACCTTTTTTAATTTTGTTTTAGAAATACGCAACTGTCTTTGAAAACGAAAGAATAGGTATGGTGGAACTACCGTATATGAGCGAAGAAAGGTTGCAGAAGATGGGATTACCATTAGGACCGAGATTAAGGATCATGCAGGAAGCTCAGATATCAGTTTGTAAAGATAATACGTTGTGTATAGTTTAAGAAATTTTTAAATGTAAAGAACTAGAATAAAAAATTTGAAACGATTTAAATTTTATGATAAAAATAATTACAGTGAATGCTAAAATTAGTTATTTTTGACTAGATTGTACTAAAAATGTTTAGTTTATTATAGTTTTTTACTTATGTACAATGAAATTGTGTATATTTTTTTTAAAGGCAATTCTAGAATGTTTGATAAAAAATAAGTTTATCGTAAATCTGTACCTACTCTTGAAAATGGCGGCTTAAGATTTATTTATTTGTAAGATCCATAGACTTGACATAGTTTAATTTATTTCATAAATAAGATAGATATATATTTTTGTATTCTGTATATTTAATGGTTGTTATGACATAATTTTGAATATTTTACCTGCATTTATACGAATATTTTTGGGTGGACATTTTCGCAGTTTTAAACCTTTGCCAATAATACCAAAGATATGTTTCTTTGTACTTAATCAATTCAGTTATTTTGTACCCAGTTAATGTAATCAAAATAAATTAAATAAGCAAAGAAATTGTTTTTTATTACTTTATAATATGTAAACTTTCTTTAACAATGATCGATAAAGACAATAATCAGTCATCTCTAAGATAACTACAGAATCCTCAAATTATCTCGCATGATTTTCCAGGACTGGATGTATAACGTTCATAAGTTCATATCACTTGTCATGTTAGAAAAAAAAAAGATGAAAATAAGTAATTCAAAATAAAAAAGAGCAAAATTAAAACCAAAACACAAAAACAAAATTAACAGGTTCGCTGCGTTATCGGTCTCCAGGGACCGGTGTTGGTTATTAATGTAGTACGATAGGTGAAAACAGTAAATGTTTTTGATTTGCGAAACGCATATTTTCGTTAATTATCGTTTGTTTTAACTGCTAAAGAAAGAAAGCATTTTACTCGTCTCAGGATTAAGAACATTTAAAAATGGAAAAATTATACCGTTCTTTGGGGACCAGTAACGCCTTAAAAGAAACAAGAGATGAAGCATTTCATTTATAACGTATCATTTGTTTGGTCCCAATCATTGAAAAAGAAAAAGAAGATAGTTTATGCGGATTGAAAGAAGACACACTGTTATCCTAGATCTCGTTAGGCAACGCTGCTGGTACATTCACCCAAAAGTCTGTCGATACCAGTGGCGTATCTTATTAATGATAAAATTATAACTACACGATTTTTGTGTGAAAAAGATTATTAATTTGCAATAAATACTAAAAAAATAAATCATAAAATATATGGTGTGCAATAAACTTTACAATGGTTTAAACTTTAAAACCTATTGAATTTGAAATAAGGGCATGCAGTTGAGTGGAATGTAGGTAAAAATAAAAACTTAAAAACACAATTTTTTTAAGAATAATACAGTATTTATTACATATAAAGATTATAAACAAAATGAAATACAATAAATAAAATAAAAACAAGATAAATAAATCAAGATTTATTTTAAACAAATTTGACCAGTTTTATAAATTGGTAATAATGAAAGATTTTTTAATCAAAATTTAGATTTTAAAAACTAATAAATTTATAAAAGTTAATAAATCAATAAATTTACCATATACAGTATGTTCCCCTAAGTTGGAATCATATGCAAGCACATCCATTTACATTAATAAAATTATTTTTAAAACGTATGTCTACAATAATGCAAATTTAACTGTAGTTACATGTAATCTAGGATGCACTGACAAACAAATAATTTGTTGCATATTTAAACGTAATTTTTAATTCTGATCAACTTTTTTTATAGTAACATTTTTCGATAGTGTCAAATTTAAAGGTACTTTACTCTTGAGTAAAACTCATATTTTTTACGAACCTCGTAGTATACCACTGAAAAAAATTTGATATTTTATGACTGTATTCTAGGTTTTAGATAATGCAAAACTTTTTATGATGAATTACTGTTTTTCCTAAAATGAATAATAAAAAAGTTTTCCATATTATTCCAACTTAGGGGGACATACTATATATATATATATAAGATGGGGATTTTAAATGAAACGCTACTTATAGCGGATCTGCCGATAAGAATTTTGGAAAATCTAAAATCAGCTAAAACTATATAACATAAACCTGCATTAGTGCTAGACGTTGAAAAAAACCTACGTTTTTAGTTAAAACAGAAAATATTCGATTCTAAACAATACTACTTTTGTATTTATACTTCTTATTCCATTTTTCTTGAAATACCCAACTTTTTTGTTGACTCATAATGAATGATAATACCTATTGAAATAATGTTTTAATATCAGCTTTATTAAATCTAGTGCGTGATTTTTATAAATATGGCCAACAAAACTGTGATCTCCAAAAAAATTGAACATGTTAAATTCTAAGGTTTTTACAGTATTTAAAATTAATATATCCAACACCTTCAAAATGCACCGAGCATAACACTCTTCATTTTCTTAAGTCCTACAAGTGATTGCCAAATATTTCTTGTATACCTATCAGTTAGGAATCTAAAAAGGAAGCATAAGCATATTTATTTTACTACTAACGTTCAGACTAAAGTGTTTCCATTAATAACAATTTTTTGCGAAATTAATAACGTTAATATGTCAAAGGAAATAAATAAAAGCAGAACAAAGGTAGATTTATGTCGCGTTTGAATATCCACATTGGATGCATCTGAGATGTTGTAAATCTTTGATCACGTGATTATGTAAATGTAGTAGGACAGATGTGTCCGATGTGGATAAACAAACACTTGAGATGCAAAAAAATGCATCGAAGGTGGATATTCAAACGCAGCAAATACATGTGATATTACGGCAAAAATGTTTAAATCCACACCACTGAACAATAAAATGCATCATCTAACCTTACATACTTATGAAAATACACTTCAGCACTTACATTATCCAGTTTTTTTGCACAAAATGCACTCGCTAACCATGTTGTTAGCTATACACTAAATCTACAAGCCGAAATATTTCCAAAAAGGTATCAAAATCAACAAAAACACCCAATATGGAACAACTTACTGTAAGGCAACATCGCAAACTATTTTTAAATATGAAAAGGGTAAACTACATAGCATGGCAACAGCGCACCAGGCAACGCATGTCGGTTCTTTTACGAAATCGATACGCGTTACGTTTCTTTGCAATGGCTGACTGGGTTTAAAGGTAAATAAAGGAAATTTGGGTAACGCACAGACATTACAATTTGTTACTCTGGTGCGGGACAGGTGCTGCACGACCAGCGCATATTTATACGTGCTTGCCTGCGCGGACAATCGGCGTTTAGTTTCAGTTGTATTTTTATAGCACGACTGTTTGCGTCTGTGATTTGCCACGCTAAAAATGTCGTCTCGCGCTAAGAAAATTTTGTTTTTAACTGAAAAAGCCAGTACAAACAATGTGGATACAAATGTAGAGGGTGACGAACCGTGTACTTCAGCTGAAAATAGTAATTTAACGAAGATAACCCAAGTGTTGTTTATGAGCGCCAAAGTACAACTGAGCCAGAAGACCATGTGCTTGCAGAGTTGCCAAATAGTGACAGTGAAAATGATCGTGATGATGAACTAGATGATGTTTTTGATTCGAACGATTCTGTTATCGACAAAAACTATTTACCTTTATCAGATGAACGTTCTTGGGCTGAGTGCAATATAGCCAAAGTTAAGCGTTTTTCTCAATATATATAGTTATGGGATTAGTTGATGGTCCTTCATTAAATCTGTATTGGTCAAAGGATTCCCATGAGTTTGTTGTAAGTACCATGAGACGAGACAGATTTCATTTATTGATGCGCTTCATTCATTTGAACTACTTTGAAACCAACAAGAAAACTAAACGGGCAGCGTGAGCATGTACTTAAACCGAAAGCAATTATTGATTACAACAAAGCAAAAAAGGGGTACATTTTAGCGATCAGATGAGTTCTTATCATCGCGTATTAAGAAAAAGTTTGAAATGGTTACCGTAAACTAGCATTTGATTTTTTGTTTGAAACAGCTATTCTAAATGCCTGGATTATATAGAATAAGGTTAGTTCCGCAAAATTGTCTATAACAGAGTTTAGAAGAAGATTGGCAGGGGAGTTAATTGTTATTTCAGTAGCACGCGAAGAAACCACTACTTCCAGAAGAGTTCTATACACTTTCGTGGATGCTATCATAAATTAGGAGAAACACATTCAAACAAAAATGCAAGTATTTTGGTCACCAAAGTAACAAGTTATTGTAATGAATGTACTGTACAACCAGAAATGTGTTTACCTTGCTTTAATAGCATTCATAAAAAATAGTCTGTATTTCTGGATCTTGATTATTTCTTGCTAAATAACTAAAAATATATTTACTCTACACATTTTTTATTTTCAAAAATCGTTTATAATATTAAAGCATTTAGGAGTATTTTATATCGTTTGATGTTTTGGTCTAAATCCGTGAAAACTAGGAAGCTGTCAGACATTTTAAAAAATCTTTTGGTTTTCAACGTATTAAAAACAAAACAAATATTACAATAACTAAAATATTCATTAATAGTTGAAGGCTTGCAAACTGTATGATATTAATAATAATAACTTAATATAAACCCAAATTAAAATAACAGCGACATTGACGATTGTACAAAGTTTTGAAGCGAACTTATAAACGATAAAATTATTGGAAAAAAGTGAACACCTTTTTTAAATTACCACGAGTCGCCACTGTTTGATATAATATATTGTCGATCAAATGTAATTTGATAAAATGTATTTTCGACCAAGTTTTTAATTCGAATAAATGTTTTCGATCAATTTTGTGTCACACAAGTCCTAGTGAGAGTATTAGTTGAGTTAATCAGAGAAGTTATGAAATGAAAATTTTTGTATATCGTAAAAGATATTGTCTAGAAATTCCTAAAGCCGACCCTGTGTCTAAAGCAAGCGCGACCTTCAGCTGGCAGCTGACTCATGCTCGAGGCGACGGAACGTTCAGGAATGCCGCTGACGCACTAGAAACGGCTAGAACGCGCGGAGAGTGCCGTTGAGTCAGATATGGAATTTTCGGGACCGTCTAGAGTATTCTGGTTACAGAGTTGGCTTGATATAAATATCGCGAGTTTGAAGACGGCAGTCAGTTGATTATAGACAGTTTAGTTTAGTAAAAAGTATTGGAATGAAAGGTTAAATTGTAATAAATAAATTAGAATTGTTAGTTAGTGTCTAAGTATTAAATATAAATTAATTAATACATATTAAATAAATTGTAAATAGTGTGTTTTAAATAAATAAACTATAACTAAAATCGAAAAACATCTGCACCTTATAGTACATTTTTTAAATGTTCATTTCTCAGAAAATTTTATTCTTGATAAACATTAGTACATGTGCTAAAAATCCAGTACAAACCACGTAGATATTAAATGAGAGCTCAAAAGATGATGAATATGGCTGAGGAATAAAGATGTTTTGTTAAATTTTAATCATAGTTTTCTACATGATGGTTGTCTGATAAATAGAGAGCGGAATATATGCAAAATGCATATATATGCATTTTTTGCATATTTTACCAAAGTTCAGAAAATATTGCATATTTTTCCAAAATTCAGAAAATATTGCATATTTTACCAAAGTTCAGAAAATTTAAGAAAATATTGCATATTTTCGAAAAAAAAATGTATTACTATACTGTGCAATTCAAAAAATGTTTTAACAGATTATACTGATATATTTGAAATAAAGACCTTTTAAATTTTTGTATTTGTTTTTAAGTGGCACTTCTTGTAAATTCTTGTTAATTAGTTCTTGGAGGGTGGCATGCACTGGGTTTTTACCTTCTTAAGAGATTAAGCCCATTAAGGCAATTGTTAATAGATGGTATTTAAACAGATAAAGTATTACCTACAATGCAATAAAACGGTTTATATAAAATTCTTAGTAATTTCTTGTAACCAATCTACCCTAACATCGGAATATTTTGAATGTTTTTCATTCCCTTTAATGAGATAGTATCCTCGTTATTTGCCTAGTGAAAAGTCTTGTAATAATTTGTTGTTTTAAAATTGTCCTAAAATGTCGAGAATTTCTTCGTGGATTATTAACTTTCCAGAGTTGGAAATCAATGGGGATAAAGTTTTTTGTAAAGCTTGTGCCAAAATAGTGGTTTGCGAAAAAAAAGTTCAAAGTGGTTCAACACGTGAAAACATCATTGCATAAAGCCAAATTGCAAAAAATGAAATCACAATCGGTTCAACAATGCGTTGTGAGGTCATTTCAAAACGCCGACAAAACAAAAAGTGACAAGGAGGTATTTAATCAGGACTTGTGCAAAGCTCTTGTTGCGGCAAATATTCCATTAAAGAAGTTATAAAACCTACATCTAAGAGAATTTTTACAAAAATATTGCAATCAAACCATTCCTGACGAATCTACACTCAGAAAAAAAAATGTACATGCTATATATATATATATATATATATATATATATATATATATATATATATATATATAAATGTAATAGAAGAAATTAAAGTTTTGCTGGATGATAGCAATTTTTACATCATTGTTGATGAAAGCACAGATGATTGTGGAAGATATATGGTACATCTTATGATTGGAGCCATAAAAGAAAATGAACCAGGTACATCATATTTAATTGCATCAAAACAGTAAGAAAAAACTAACAATACAACTGTTACCCGATTTATTCAACAATCTCTAGCAGAATTTTTTTTACCAAATCAAATTACCTCAGAGAAGTTCTTAGTGTTTTTGTCTGACGCAGCACCATATATGATAAATGTAGGGCAAAACTTAAAAATATTTTATCCAAATATGGTCCACGTTACTTGTCTTCTGCATGGAATAAACTTAGTTGCAGAAACTGTGAGAACAGAATATCCCTTGGTTAACAAGCTAATTTCGAATGTGAAAAAAATATTTTTAAAAGCCCCTTTAAGAGTGCAGTTGTATAAAGAGAGAATGGTAGAGGTGTGTTTGCCCCCGGAACCCGTAATTACGCGATGGGGGACATGGATTAAAGCAGCTATATTCTATGCAGAAAATTTTGAAGCAATTAAGAATTTAATTTTGGATGTAGAAGACAATTCACAATGTGTAGTGCAAAGTAAAGAATTGTTAAAAAATCCCCTTGTGCCTGAGCAACTTGTGTTTATAAAGGTTAATTTTAGTTTTTTACCTGATCTAATAACTTCATTGGAAAAGAAAAATTTAAGTTTAATCGAATCAACAAATTTTATTGCAACAGTTTTCGATAAATGTAACAATGTTCCTGGTGACATAGGCCTTAAGATTAGAAAAAAATTAAATACAACTTTATTAAAGAATGAAGGGTTCAATGAAATAAGGGAAGTGAAAAACATTTTTGAGGGAAAATTTTCCAAAGAAGTTTTACGTTGGCCCTGTACATTACTTCCAAAATTACGGTATTGTCCTATTACTTGGGTAGATGTTGAAAGGACCTTTTCCATATCAAAACATATTTTTACAGACAGAAGACAAAAATTTTTAATAGAAAATTTCGAAAAATATTTAATTATAAATTCCTATTATAATATTACTATTTAATATTTTTATACTATTCTATACTTAACTTCAACTAGTTTTTGTGTTTCGTTTGTTTTAAATAAATTTTTATATTACATATTTTCTTCTGGTTTTTTTTTTCGTGTAATGGCTTTGATAGCGTACCAAATTAGGAACAGCAATGTTAATTAGAACCCAACAGTGAATGGTCAAGTGGAAATATTCGCTAGGCATCAGAATTAATTTTTAAATAAATTAATTAATTTAAAAAATCGCGTCCTGGCGTCCACAGGCCAACGCACTAACCACTGAGCTACCCACCCCTACTTTTTTTTTAAGTATTTTTAACAAATATGCATTTGCATATTTAGGCATAATTGGACAAAATAACTGCATATTTTTGGTAAAAACGATGCATATATATGCGCATATTTTGTTATATTTTGATGCATATATTCCGCCCTCTACTGATAAATAAAGATTTTTCTCTGTTTTTAAAGATACGTATTCTTTACTCTCGAGCTAAATTCATATTTTTCACCTGCCTCTTACCTATATGGTTCAATTTTTTTAATAGTACTGTATAATATCAATTTTGTCGGAAAATCCAATCAAATTCAAATTTCTGTAAAAATAACAATTAACTACAAATTATGCAAATAAAAACACTATTATTTGATGTTTACCATGACCTCCATACATGACATTTCCGGCGGAGTCGAACTGTCTCCAAAAATAAAAATATTACCTGACTCTAAAAAGTTATAGTTTTTGGAAAAAAGTCGTGACCTGTTATAGATCGGTATATTTCTTTTAAATATTGTAAAGCTAATTTATATGACACTTTATTTTTATTTTTCAAAAGGAAGAAAACGAGAGGAATATAATGATTAATTTTAAAACCATGAATAAAATTGTAAAAAAAATTTACGGTAATAATCGAAAGTGCCGTCAACATATAATTCACTTATTTCTTCTAGAGCATAAAGATTAGTTTTACATGAAAACATGACTATATTATTTATTTCATCATTTTTAAAAAGAAAATATTCGTCCTTATTAGTTTTTAATGTAACAGAATTTAATAAACTATGAAATTCAACTATATCAGTTGGAAGTTTTGGTGCAATTTTGGACCTAGCAGTATACATATTTTTTCTCATCCTTTCAGCGTCATGAGTGGTAATAATTTCACAGTGGGATTCTCTTATATTCTTTCTTATTAAGCCCATTAGTTTTGCCGAAATATCTTCTATTGATTTAATTTTTACAGCATTGTTTAAAGTCTGTCTATTTAGAAGTTCTTCTAGTTGTGGTTTAAACAACATTCTATCACTTCAAGACGGTCCAATTTTGTTTTGACAAAAGCTTTGCACTGCATCTTCCTGGACGCACAAAGCCGTCTTTTTAAAATGTCTCTTGCTAATAACTTGTGGAATGAAAATTTAAACCCATCGATCACTAACAAATATTAGCCTTTTTTACTTTTAATTATTATAGCCTCCATTATACGTTTAGTTTCACTGTACACACTTTTAATTATTCTACAACTTCGGTTTAAACAAACTTTACAATCTCTGAAACTTGTGAGGAATATATGAAATATGGTTTACTAGTTTTAATACCTCCCTTTATAATACGAAGGAGGGAAAGCAGGTACCTAATTCTGTATTTTAAAAATGTTGATGCATTAAGTTATTATGATTTTTAAGTATTTATTAATGAATATTTAAGGTGTAAATGCAGGTTATAGTGTTAGAAATAAATAAATCTAAGAATTATTTTCTTACTAATTATTATTAACAAAATTTCTATATAAATTACTTTTAACGTTTAAGATTAAAACTAGATTTAAATGCAGATTATTATTAATTATTTATTTATTAATGAATATTTAAGGTGTAAATGCAGATTATCGTTAGAAATAAATAAATCTAAGGATTATTTTCCTACTATTCTATTTCATCGAAGTTAAAGAGACATTTTACAAAAAGAAAAAGGTATCAATACTTCAACGTACTTTTAAAAATAAAATAAAATAATTTGTGAAAATTAATACCTTTTAATGTATATTAGCTTGGGAGATAACTCGACCTATGATGGAAGATAATTGGATCCATAAAAAAACTACCTGCATTTCTTTGACAGTAGCCTACATCCTACATTATAAAAATAAAACTTTAAACCAGATTTAATTACTAATATCGTCAATGAGAAAGATAGACAAACATATCACCCTGAGTATAGCTCTATCAAAGGCGCCGAGACGTCTGGCGTCATTTCCTCTATTCCCCAGCCTCCTGAATCGTCCCTATTTCGCTCTGACCGTCAGATTCGAGCGGATATTTTTATGAAATCTGTTCTGTTTTTATTAAAATATTGTGTAGTTGTTGGTAATTGGTGATAAAAAAACTTAATCAGAACCATGATGACGAAAAGGTTTTTCTTTTGTATGAGCCTAAAAAATGGGGCTTGGATTATGACAGCATCTAATATGGTAAGTAAATATAAAAACATGTATTTTATATCAGTTTGTTGATAAATCCCAAATATTTGCAAATTAAATATACAAACAATAATTTTTCGTAGTAACGTTAGTCTCCATTAAAAAGTACTTGGTTGAATAAAGTACAAATTGGATTTTGTTTTTAAATGTTTTGGACGTTTTGACGGTTATCCTCAAAACGTTAAATGATTTATTTTTTAATTTTTGGATAAACTCAACGTGTTTGTTGTTAAAGAACATAAAACTAATAAAAGTAAAAGATTTGTCTCAATTTAATTAATTACATTAAATTAGGAAGAACTTCGATGTTTGTTTTGTGTTCTGTTTTATATACATCAGTGGATGGACTGAAAAAGAGGAAAAAGTTTTTATTTTCAACTTTTAGAAAAAATATTATCTTTCATAGGTTTTTCTCGTTTCAAAAATAATAATATTCCAATAATATTTTTTTTATATTTTTGTCATTAGTTGACTAAATCAAAAATCCAAGAGATATATTCAACTTTTTTTTAGATGATTAGTTTTGAAACAAGCAAAAACTTGTGAGGAATAATTTTTTTTCGAAAAGTTGAAATTTTTTTCTCGGGACTTGTGTTTCTGTTTTTATTAGTCATTTGTTGTTGTTACAAATTTGGAATAATTTATTTGTATAAAAATATAAAGCTATCGCTTTTTCAGCATCCCTATATTTTCCGGGGGGGGGGATACCGCGCCTGGGCATCATAGTCTAATGGCGGCGCTAACGTCATGCGTAGAGTAAGTAGAGTTGGCGCGAAGTAAATATCGTATGACAGACACACCTTGCAGTGATTTGTAAGTCGTTTATGATAATTTATATCATTTTAAGCGGATATTTGTATTATAATATGTTATATACTTTGTTCTGTGGGAGTAGTATTAGTGAAAACCAATAAAAAAATTGTACGCTATTAACGGATGTAACAGTAAAAATCTGATGTGTCCAACACATGACTTTCCTATCTAGTTATTATAGGCTTTTTGCGGTTATTTTGTACAACCTATTGCAGCACCTCTATAAATGTTTAGAGGTTAAACTAAATATATACATTTTCCACGTACATCTACGTCGAAATATTTTTCTATAGATATTCATTGAAAACAAAAATATTGAAAAATTTAAATTTAGCACTTTTTCTCCAATTTTTCCATTACGGTCCAATTTAGAAAAATCATGTAAAAACAAAAATTATAGAGATCGAACTTTAAGTTTAACAATTTTCCTAAAAATGAGAATTTTGCACATTTTGTAAAATTTCTTGAATACGGACCATTTCAGAAAAATTTGACATAAAGCAAAAATTATAGATAATAATATCAGAAGTAACTTTTATTTGAACAATTTTCTTCTTCAAACATAAATAACAGATATATTCCATAAAAACGGCCTCCCGTTAAGTATTCTACGTCAGGCCGAAATAAAATTTAAAATTTAATGTTTTTTTCTTTGTCCGTTTTTGAGTTTTCTTCAAAATTCGAAATTTACACATTTTCTCAAATTTCTCGAATACGGTCCATTTTAGAGAAATTATGTATAGGATAAAAATTATAGAGAAATATATTGCAAACAACTTTAATTTGAACAATTTTTATAAAAAAATATTTTTTTTACGTCAATAAATAATAGCATTCCACAAGATATTCGTCTATATTTAGAAATAAATTGAGATTTTAATGAAACTAAAACCAATCTGATTATGAGAGTTAAAAAGTAAAATTTTTTCATATGTTACAATAATGGAAATGTAGAGTCCTCGCCTGTGAATCGAGGGTTTCAGAGTTCAAACCCACGAGCAGGCGCTTTTTTTTATTATTTTATTTTTTTATTATTTATCATTACATCATTTTGGATTTGAATGTACAGTGTGTCGCAAAATGTCTGCACCAAAAAAACACGAAATTACATTTTTCTTTAATCTACGTAAAAAAGTGCAAATTAAAATTTTTTTACTGAAAATTATTAGGTACCTACAGAGTCATTCGTTATAAATTACCCGCCCTTTATGCCATAATTATTATTGTACAATATTTACATTGACCGAATTTTGTTAAAATGTCATCAAAAATATAATGACCATATCAGTGGCGTGCATCTTTCACGGGACACAACATGAATAATATTTTTTAATAGGGATAGCATAGATATACATTTCATTCAATGGGACATAGTACAACTGAAGATTCTCTGAATTCAATAAACATTTTTGACACTTTCCAAAAACTTATTTATACTATAATTTATTTTTTTTATATAAATCATGCACTCTTGTTGGGAACTCGTCCTTTATTAACAGTAAAATAGGTAATTCAGTAATAAAAAATAAACACAACTAATTCACAATACATACTACCTGTAAACGCACTAACGCACAATAACAACCACTACCTAGAAAATAGTCCAAACAATGAATCACGAGTGAATAAAATTTCATCTAAAAGTTAAAAATAGAAACTCATCGGTCTCCGTCATCCGCAAAAATTTCAGCTCGACCCTCAAGTCCGCCCACTTCAGAACAAACGACTTTCGACTTATCCAAATTCACTAGCGCTATCTATTGGTAGTATCTATTTCGCTCCAACTAAATTTCCATAAGGTGATGATACTACTATTAGTTCTTTATACAATGGTATACATTTCCGCAAAATAGGTGTCCCGGGACGTGGCGGTCCCCGACAGTGAGTAGAGGAACTTAAAAATTTCTAACCATCGACGAATAGTTTTCTACTTCTGCTTTCAAGCCTCCGACCGTTAAGAAATTTGCATAAGGCCCGACATTAGTATTGTTTTAGGAAGAAAGTTGAAAAGTTTATTTCTAGTATGTAAATTACCTTTCATGTCATAAAAAGTTTAAAGTAAAGTATGCTAAAATAGAAATAAACCAGTTTAACTTTCTTTGCAAAAACAAAAAATCTAAACAAGCACATAAAGAACAAACTTTGGAATGCACCAACTTACATAAATCAAATTGGGTATGTATATGCATATTACATATGAAGATTAGAGGTCAATTTTTATTTTGATTATTTTACTATGTTTATGTGGAATCAATATACCATGTTAAAATAAAACTGGAAAACAGATAAAATATTTAAGAGGTACAAAAAACTATTAGAATTCCATGCAAAAAACAGTCAATGGACTCCAATAGTTTTACATAATATACTTACATACATAAAATTCAAAAACTCCAAGCAGTGCCACAACAAATACCATAAATAATAAATCCCGTATACCTTCCTCACTTGATTGATATCTCTGTTTACCATATAGGGGTATAGAATTTGTCATATAAAACATTGAATTTGTGTTGGAATAACCTGCATAAACTATTTTAGTCGGCTTCAACGAATTCGTGTCTATCTCTTTTTAATCCCTTATTTGAACTGTTGTCTGATACCTGTTTACCTATAATAACTTATTTTTTAATTGGCATAGTTCATTTTTCAATTCAGCCCATAAAACTATTCTCTCTGTTCTCAATTTAACAAGTATTGTATTGTTTTAGATTTTTTTAATTTATCCTTATATAGGAACAAGAAATGAGTAACAGTTGTTTGTGCAACAAGAGTGGATATTATGATGGCCATATCGCACGAAGACGAAATTTGAGCACGACGCCGTTAGCGGAGTGCTCCTCAATCGTCTGAGTGTGATATGGACAATCCACTCGAGTTGTACAGCATATTTTTTCCACAACCCACTAATGAAATACTACAAATAATATTAAAAATTATGTTAGGTTATTAAGATAAAATAACTAATTTAAACTTTCACTAGTTTATAAAATAGAATAAAAAAGAAAAAGGCAAGTGCTTTGAACTCACCACCACCGAGGTGCTTAAAATTTTTTTCTTTAATACTCGTAATTAAATTGACTTTATATAGTTTTATTAAAATTAACGAAATATTTATAATTATAGACCAAACAAAAATAGAAATGCTATTATTATTTATCGAGTCTACATAAGAATAACTCATTTTAATGTGTATTTAATCTTAATAACTAAACATTTTTTTACTGACAATTAGTTTGACAGAAATTTTACTTATTTCAAATTTTAAAAATAATAGTAGTTCTGTGATCAAAATAGGAACTGTGATTGGTGGATTTTATTATTTTTTGTAGTGTTCTTACTACCTAGAATGGATATGAAATATATTCGTTCAGTTGAACGCAATAACATTCTTTTTCGTTTTACCAAATGACAAAAACCAATATTTTGCACGAATATCTAGATATAATTTTTAGTAAGAATGATTCAGTACATTAGTATCATTAAAAAATACAATAAATCATTACATATGTTTTTTCGATCTTTGGAATAAAAATTGCATTTGGCATTTCGTGTTAAATGTTTGTTTTTGTTGGTTTGATAAAGTGATATTTATCCGGGAAAAGCTTGACTTTAAAGACCGAAAAACTAAATATGGATGTCTTGCTATTTAATGATTTTTTATTTATTTTATCGATAGTTAGTAGTATACTGAATTATTGGTATAAAAACTGTATTTGTAATCTTACTAATTTATAATAATTTTATTTAACATTGTGTGACGTACAGAACATGGGCTGTTGATAACGTCTCGATATGGGTTTTTTATGCAATTGTTCCAGATTTGGGTGGCATTAACATATTATTCCAACAAAAAAAGAAGGATGTTGGAGCTTATTAATCTGCTTTATCATATCATAAATGTACTAAACAATAAAAAAGAAAAGCTATGAAGTTTTTCGAAAAAGATTAAAAATTGTATGGTGATTAAATGCGACATTTACGGTCCGTTTACGTTGGCCTGGCGTATTAATAATTTTAGTGGTGCAATGGCGAAAGTTGTTTAAATATTTACAAACAGTTTTCAAAACTAGTACAGGTAAAAATAAAATTGTAAATATTTTGGGCTGAGATCTCTCGGCTCAGTACTCGAGTTTAGTTTCAATAAATTTAAAGTTATCCATCTTCTATTCCAGTAT